TAAGTCAAGGACATGGCTATCTGAAACTTCCTAAGAACCAATTCATGAATGCCTTCAAAGGGAAGTTTTCTTTTTCTGAATTTTTTTTTCCAATGGCAAAATGACAGTCTATGAAATAAAGTTAAAATTTCTCAAGGATTACTTGATTTTTTCACCACTAGGGAAGGCTTTAGTACAGAAAGAAGCCAAACTTGTTATTATTTAGGTAATAAGAAGTTTGGGATCATTCTTTAAATCATGTTACTTTTTCTTTTAAAGAAATGACACAATTTTAATATGCAGAGGTTTTTTTGGAGGGGAGGGGGGTAGGGTCAAACTGATTCTTCCTGAGGAACAATACAACTAAAAATAACAAATCAATTTCATAGCATATAAATAAAATATAACAAAGATGTACATGTATGTATATATTTAACAAAAGTTTATGCATATTTAAAGGAAATAATAAAACACTAAGATTTGTGGTTTGGCTATTTCCTTGCTTCAGATACATATCCGTTAAAATATGTAAAACACAGTGATTTCCTCCTATACACTTTTTTTAACCATATAAAAGAAAACAATCCTCTAGATACACTTCTCTAATAATAGCTAATATATAATAAACATAATTTGAATCAGAACAGAAGCAGCAGCTCCAACAAAATTAACAAGTTGTTCAGTAGAAAATAGGCTTTATCTCAAATATGAAAAAAAATACCATTTATCAGGAAAAACAAAAAGGACCTAAATTCAAAAGGGAGAAAACAGGAAGTAATAGGGGCTTGAAAAAATGTACTTGCTTTCCTAGCCTGTAAAATAGGAGGAGAATATTCACAGCATGTGCCTCTTCGTACTGTCATGAGGACTAAATGAACTCATACATGTAATCGCTGAAAACAAGGTCTAGGTCCATAATGAGTGCTCAGTACTGACACTAATTTTTATTATTAGCAAAAACTCTTATTATTAGGCCATCTCTCACTTCCCACCTAGGAAGGCTCTCTTGAAGGAATCACAATCTTCTGAGTATATGTCGGTTGCCAAGTGATCATAGCCTTATTTCACAGAGGAAGCACTCTGAAGAAATGCTCAAGATTTCTAAAATCTAGAGGTAAGATGCAGTCATCAGAGAAGGAACAGGGTTTCTGATTTGCAAAGGGAAGGCAACACCTAAAAAGAGGAATAAGGCTTGTGCTCCATTTTCCAGACAGCTGGACTTGAATTAAGCACTGGGACTTATGAAGAGAAATGTCTGTTCAGTACAAGAGAGACTTTTAAACATCAAAAACACCTTCCAAAAGGACAGGTTGCCTTAAAGGGCAGAGAGTGTGCTGTTACTGAGTGTCAAAGTAGGAGTTTCATCAATCAAGGATGATAAACAAAAGATTCCTTAGCAAAACTATGTGACAGTAATGGTAATCATCACCCACATTAATGATAGTTGACAATTCAATAGAAACTGCTTGGGGGCTGGGGATTTAGCTCAGCGGCAAAAGCGCCTGCCTGGCAAGTGCAAGGTCGTGAGTTCGGTTCCCGGTACCGCAGAAAAACCAAAAAAAAAAAAAAAAAAAAGAAACTGCTTGGCACTATTGCTTATGTGCATTACATATATTCACGCATTTAATCTTTACCACAGTCACCTGGCTCTGCAGTCTTACACTGTGAACCACCACGATACACTGCCTACCACCCAGCTTCAAAATCCTGAGCAATTAGTTTCTCTGTGTTTCTACTTATTCATTTCTAAAATGATAAAAATTAGATTGTGATAGAAATTAAATGTATTAATACATTTGTCTGGTGCCTAGAATAGTGCCTGACACACAGGAAGTACTTTATTATCTTTTATATAGAGATTATTTCAACTTCTAAGAAAAACTTTTACTTGGATGTCAAAGAATTGTGTCTTGGCTACTGTTAACAATGTGACACAAACTTCTATCAAGTAATTGGAAGTCAAATCTTGACTACGAGGCTGTTTCTCTAGCTAAATAAAATCGGTCATGAAAAATAACGGAAAAACTGATATAGTGACATCAGAGTCTCTGTATACTTTGGCATGGCTGATCATAAGGTAGGACTTTGAAAAAACTGGCCCAGTGCTCCACCTTCTATTGACTTTTCTGACCACCCTCAATGGGCTGGCCAATCATTCAAATTACACTTTCAGCAGAACCCTTATATACTGGACTTTAGTTCCCAAACTAATTCTCAAATCTAGTCAATTCGACCCACTTCCTTTGTACCTATTATCTAAATGCAATATGGCGTCCAAATGGCCCAATAAACTCTGACTTACCCTTATGTCACTCTTTTACATCCAGGTTCTGTGAGCAACATTAAACCCTTATTTCATCAGGCTTCCAAATCCACTGAGGTCCTCACCCACAAATATGCTAGATTCCTCAGTAATTAAGACACAGAAGCAACAAGGTAAAAGTTTGTTCTCCTTGCTGTCTTCCTCTGTATCCCTGAACTCCAATAGCAAATCAATTTAACACTGACATCTTTACCTAGCCTTTTCATTCTCTTCCTGATTTTAGGGAGGAAAAAAGTTCCATTCCTCCCTTCCAAGGCCAACACTTTCTTCTGTTCTCTGATACTACCCAGGAATTGTAGGTTACATCATCTTAGTTCACTGTCTGGCAACCATTACTGTCTTGCAGCTCACTTCAATGTTCAAACTTTTCTACTAATGCATAAACATACCCCCATAAGGAAGAAATGTTGTTTTACTTCTTTCCCTAAGTTTTGACTCTTAACCCATTTTATCGCCAAGTATCTCGAATGGTCTCTTACTGTAGGTATATACTGGTGGGCTGAACTAAAATAAATGTGAATCACTGGAAAGCAACCTGGTACAGGTTGCTCTTGACTACAATCTTTTAAGTACACTTAAAAGTTCTGGTATCCATCAGACTTGGGTAATTGTTAATTATTTCTTCCATTTATACTATGTTTTTATTAGACATAAGAATGAAAAATATACCACAGAAGTTTATTATATATGACAAACTGTACTTTAAATGTTACTTACTTATGGACTTTTGCACAAAGTTTATAGATTAGCAATATTAATACCATAAAAATGGTTTCTGAAGGACAATTTTTACATGAGCTGAGGAGTGATTAAAGTAATGAATAATACTACGATAATGTAAATTATATGAACTTTTAAAGCCTTAACTAATTTAAAACTTACCATCTATACAAAAGAATAAGCTTAGAGAAATAAAGGTTTCCATGCACTCAGGGGAAAGAATCTCATAAAATAGGACAGAACATGATGTATTTAAGAAGCAAGAAAGCCAGTGAAGGTGGAGCACAAAAAGCAAGGGAAGGAAGAAGTGAGGGCCAGATCCCCCAGGGCCTCATAGGCCAGGATTAATACTTTATAGTATATGCATAAGAAAAATAGGAAGCAAATAAAATGCTTTAAATTGAGAGATGGGCAGATCCCATCTGGAATTTTAAGAGGCTAACTCTAGTTGTTTTAGAAAGAATGAACAGGTAGCTGACCAAAGTGAAGGGCGTCTGGCAAAAGTGGGAGTTAGAAGCCTAAGGAGGAAATGACAATACCCTGGATCAGGGCTGGCAGTAGAAATGAAAAGGAGAGAGATTCTAGATGAAATCAGTAAGATTTGGTGAGGGATTACATATGGCAAGAGAGATGTCAATGACAAGTTGGCTTCCTGCATTTATATACATATATACAAGGAAATGCAGAACACATCTTGCACAATATATACCAAATTGTTAACAGAAGTTACTTAAGGGAAAAGATGATGAATTTTTACATAATTAAAGGTAGATTTTTTTAAAAAACCACATATATAGATGTCTACATTGTTAAATATTTTAGTCAGTAGGTATACATTATTTTCATAGTTATCACACACAAAAAAGAAAAAAAAGCATTTCCTTGACTGAAATGTAGGAATATCATTTTAGGGAGAAGGAATAACCTACTGAAAAGCACAGATACATGGCATATTTAAAGAATATCAAGTACATGACATATGCAAAGAATATCAAGTAGTCCAGTGTTTGTAAAGTAAGAAGAAAGAGTAGGAATTCAGATGGAGAGGGCTGACACTATTTTAGAATATGGTTTTATCCTGAAGGTCTTTATAGATGAGGCAAAAAAAAAAAAAAAAAAAAAATTGATTCCCTAAACTGTAGGAAATGGGGAAGCATGTAAGTTTCAAGCAGGCAAGTGGGAAAATCAAATCAAGTTTATATTTCAGAAAGATCACTCCAGAGCCAGTGTGAAGATTGGACCAAAAGAGAGGTAGAAAACAGGAAGATCATTTAGACAAGAATTTAAACTAAAACAACAGAAATAGAATTGAGATTCATTTTAGAAGTAACTGACAGGATTGGGTGGTTAAACTGGATGTGACACATACAGAAAATGTAAAGTCAAATATGCTTGCATGTTTTCCAGTTTTGGAAAACAAGACAGTGATAGTATTAATTTAGCTATTACAAGCACAGGTTAACTGTGGAGATAATAAATTTTGTTTTGGAGGTGATTAAAGTCCCTCTGGCTAAAGCAGGTCAAGGTACCCAACAGGAAACTGGATATATAGGTCTGAAGTGAGAAACAGTGTCAGGACTGAAGCACACCAAAACTACCATCCAGAACAGAAGACTGTAAATGTAAGGACACAATCTTACCCTTGATGTCACTGAAACTTGAGGCAACTGTAAGAGTTGACCAGTTCCATTTATTCTCACAGTTGTAAAAACTCCACGTAACTGTTAAAAATCTCTATAGGCAATAACTTAAAAAAGGAAATTGGAATTTTGATCTTGCTCTCTTTTCTTTTTTTACCCTCTCTTTGTCTCCTTTCTCCCTCACTCTCTCTGTTAAGGAAGACAGATGAGGCATAAGTAAATACAATATAAAAACCACTTGCTATTCTTAGTAAATATTTTGTCTTATTGTAAAAGACAAAGGGAAAAGCATTAAACAATTCTACCTTTAACAAAACGTAAGTAAAATAATGATTTACCTATGTGACTCTCCACTGTTTCTCTTGCAAATCATCAGTCCTTAGTTAACCAACATCCCCAAAGCAATCAACTCCAGCTATAGCTCTAACCACAGAGCTTAAACAACTCACAGACCTTTTTGTTGCTCACTGTCAGAAACCCGAGTCACACTGTACCTTTGTCTCACTGATGGTGCCCTAGTTTGGTGGGAGGTGGAAAGGAAAGACCTGTTGGCAAGGAAACAGCTGCTTCCTTCCCGGGCAAGGGAAAACCAGGCAGGTGACAGATGGGCAGAGCAGAAAAGCAGCCAAAAATTGCCCTGGCTCCTCATTGGCAATAATTTTCAGAACTGAGGCACGACTGGGTATTTTAAAGTATATCAGTGACTGAAAGAGTATTGTCTGCCTGAGTGCTTTGCTTAAGTTCAATAGGGCTTCCCACACATCTACATTTGAAAAACTTTTAAATCTGAAGTGGTACAAAGAGCCTTGCCTCAGCTTATACACAGTGAGCTAAGACTGCAAGGCACTGTCCCATTGCACTTTAGGATTATACCTAAGAGAATGCACTTTCTGGTTAAAAATATTTTTTAAAAAAAATTTTCACTTTCTGTAGTTATATTTGTATGACAGTAGAATTATTAAAGTTTCATTAGAAAACATTTTTCTTAAATATGTTTACTTCTATACACTGAGTTTAAAAGTTATGTTGCAAACTTTTATAATTTGTTCTTTTATCATTTCCCCTCCCATCCACTTCTGTACCCAGAAAATTAAAAATCCAAGGATTCCTGGGTAAACAGACAATTGGATTGATATAACATATTTTTAAAAAAGCTGTAAATAGCTATTTTTTAAATGGAAATTAGCAATCGCTGAAAATAACATTAAAAATTAGTGTGGCCATGAAATATGAAATTTTAAAACATCAGTTTACTATACTGATTAATTCAACATTTATATTTTCATCAGAACTTAATAATCCCATAAATAAATAGAGCTCTCAATTATTTAAAAAAAATCAAGGGATAACATATGTATTTAGACATATTAGCAGCGTAAAATGTATGCTTCAACACACTTATTGGGAAGAAGTCTGAAAATATCACTACACTAAATTCAAGGGCATCTGCAGGAACCTGACATAAAAGTTCTCTAAAGTAACATTTCAGGAAATTCCAAAAAAAGAACAGGAGTCAAATAGGAAATAGTCTCAAATTAATCGACAAAGTTCAGTGCTTGCTCCAATTTGATTTTTCTGTCTCTCCATTGCAAAAACAGAACAGAACAAAAAAATAGTTTCAGGATGGGTGAATCACTTAGATGAAAGTTCATCTACTGGAATAAAGGGAGAGGCCGCTTGGGCAGGTGACACAGGAGAGTCGGTGGTAGTGCTGACTTTCGCTGGTGAGTTACAAGAAGATCCCGCACTGCTGTTGTTTCCATCGAGGGTGTCAGAAGATACACACACACCGGGGTCTGACAGCTGTGCAACGTCAGAAGAAAGCATGTTGGTGATGCCCTGGAAAAATCTCTTTGGCTGATACTCAGTTTCCATTTCACATTTTCTTTTCAATGGTCCAAGAACACTTGGTCTAATGCAGTTGATGGGACTCTGGCTTCGCCGGGTGGTAAATCGGGTAGTTGGGCTGGGAATAGGGCTTGGAGGCAATCCATTGCTACTCACAAAACTTTGCAAGGAAGGTGAAAAACACTGCTTTCCGATTCCCCGGGTAGGTGACGGTGCTGGTGACACTGGAATGAAATCGATGCGCTTTGGGGAGGCGGATTTCTCCACATCGTTGTCACTCAGACTGAAACTTTCCTCCCAGGAGTGGCTTATCTGCATTGCGGTCTGCACCTCGCGCTCGTGGACCGTCTCTCGGTTGATCAAGTCCATGCCCTCCTCCTGTTTGATCTGGTGCAAGCGGCTGCTGTGCATGCGGACCGGGGAGGCCGGTAGCAGCAGGCCGTGGCGGCTCGGGAACGTCGTGCTGTTCCTCCTTGCGCTCGGCGCCTCGGCCTGGAACACCGGCGAAGTGTCACTGAGGCCGTGGATCAGGGGGGCGCTGTTAGACCTCCTGAGGCCCCCGCCGCCGCCACTGCTGCCGCTCTCCGCTGGGCTCCCGCCCGAACCCGGAGGCAGCTCCAGATCTAGCTCCATCTTCTCCTGAGCCATGTCGGGGGCAGGGAGGCGGGGGCGGTGCTCAGTCAAGGCCCTAAGACTCCCATTCCCCGCAGCCCAGGCCCACCACCGCTGCGCTGCCTCCCAGAATCTGTCAGCGGGCTCGCCCCTCTGCGCATGCGTAGCCCTCCGCGCAGGCGCTCTAAGACATTTGTCCTCAAGGCGCCTGTTTAATGCGTAACAGCGGCGCCGCAGCCGTCGGGGGAGGGGCGGCTAGTGGTTGGGCCGCCGGGCTGTGTTTCCCTTCCGCAAATAGCTACCGAGCTCAAGCTCGCGTGAAGACACGTTGATAAGGTTATCGTGTTCGGGTGTATATTTAAACAAATATAAGCCCAGAAAGAAGTGTTGTTGATGATGTGGGGCTGTGTGACGCGGAGTGGGACTTCGCCTAGTCAGGGACAGCTTCCCTGAGGAAGGGACAACCTCCCGAAACCCAAAGAGCTAGGCCCACCGACGGCTTTGTAGAACTTTGCAGGAAACCGGAAGCGGGGGCTGCAGAGCTAGGTAGAAGGCGGGAACGGAGATCGGAGAAGTGTGGCCCGGTGAGACCGACGCCTGCCCTGACGAGGGGTGGTGGGGAGCCGAAACTGGGCTTTCTTGAGAACAGTGAAAACTCCACAGGTTTTCAAGCATGGGTAAAGTAGTTGGCTGGCTGCAGTCTGGAGAATAGATTATTGGGAGGGTAGAACCTACACGAAGAGGGCAAAGAACGGTGATTTACACCAAGGTGGGGGTGGGGGAGAGGAGATGAAGAGGATCGTTAATTTTGAGAACTATGTTGTCAGTTGGGGAAAAGACGCTTAGGATTGTACTACTATTTTACTTGCAGTCCTATTTCAGACACAAACATAGCTGCTTAATGTTCGGTATAAGGATTAAGGGAAAGGAAAACCAATAGGTTGTCACATCTTAAAAATAAAACCCATGTAATTAATGTAGAATTCTGATGCTTCAGTAAAAGTCCATTTTCACATATTCAACTTTTTTTTCCTTCATACGTACTATGTGGCAGGTCCTGTGCTAGGAAATGGGCCCTATTATGAGGGCATTTAATTTCTACGTGGAGTGATAAATAAGCAGTTTTCTGATGGTGGTTAGGAGCCTATGGCAACAGATGAGAGAATATGGGGCTAGGATTGTAGTAGTGGTGATGGTGAGAAGCAGATGGACTCAGGATATATTTCGGAAGTGGAATTAATAGTATATGAACATGGGTTAAATGTAGATGTGAGAGAAATAAGTCAAAGAGTACTCAGATTTTTAACTCAGACTGGGTAGATGGTAGTATCATTTATTGAGGATAGGAAAGGAGCACTTTTAGAGGTGTGGAAATTAAGAGCTCCGTTTTAGTAGGGTTGAGTTGAAGGTGGCTATTAGCTATCTGTGTGGCTCAGTGAACTAAAAGTTCGGTGATGTTTGCTCAGCCCCTTTTCTGAAGCTGAAGGAATTAAAGTCCTATGAAGATACAGGACATACTCAACATTACACAGCCTGGTTAATAGTGGGTACCAGTAGTAGAATCCACGTGTCTTGTTTTCTAGTCTTTCCGTTATCTCTTTATTTGAAGTCCTTGTAAAATATTCGTCCTGAAGATAAAATAGTCATGTCTACAGTTATAGAAACTGATTTAACTAATTTCCAAGTACCAGACGCTGCTGAAAGTACTTCACATGCAGTACCTCATATTATTGGCCCCATTTTGCATGGGAAACAGGCACAGATTAAGTAGCATCTGCAGATGAAAGCATGTGACAGGACCTGGACTCTGGCTCCAGAGTATCAGGATGATGCTGCCTCCTCTAAGTAGAGTAATAGGTATTCAAACCAGGATTCAAACCACTTCCATATAGCAGTTTTGTGAAGACAACTGTATTTGAGACAGGATTTAAAGACAGGATTTAACAGGGATGACATTTCATATAGAAATGGCAAATAATAAAATAGTTTGGCTGATACATACATGGAAAAGACTTAAGTGATGGGGAAAAGATTGGAGTTAAGAGTATGGAGATCTGAATGTCAGGCAGAAGTGTATATTTAACATGTGAGGCAATCGAGAGCTATTGCACATTTTGACAAGAGGAATGTGCCAGGTGTCATTCATGCACATTTCGATAACACGATTACTGTTGTTACTAGTAAAGCACAATGGTGGTGATAATTCCGTGAAATAAAACACCTATGTGCCATTTAGTTTTTTCCTAAACAGAGATCTTGGCTAGTTTCTCTGTTTATATACCTGTCCCTATAATCAGTTCTCTACCCAGTATTCAAGATAATCCTTTTTTAAAAAATGTGAATTACCACTTCTCTATTCAAAATCTTTTAGTAGATTCTCACCTCAAGAGAAAGCAGAGTTTATGGCAATGGTGTACAGACCCTCTGAGCCAGGTCCCTCCAGCTATTTTCCCTTCCACAACCTTCCTGCGAAATACAGAGGAATCTATACTGCCTTTCAGCCCACCCGGCACTGCCCCACCTGTATTACTCTTCATCTAGAGGATATCCACACTGCTCAATCTCTTCTAGTCCCTATACAAATAGCATGCTAAGAGGCTCTCCCTGACTTCCCTTATAAAAAGCACCAGGAGTACCAATACCAAACCTACCTTCCCATACTTCTAACTCTGCAATTATTTTCTTCCAGAGAACCATGTGATTTATCTCTATTTCTATCTTAATCTTACCTCTACCTTTATGTTTCTTGCCCCTGACTCTCTGAGAAAATAAGCTCCATTGAGCTCTGTTTTGGTTTATATGAACAGAATGTAGAATAAGACTTGCCATGGAGTATTCAGTGTTAGTTGAATCATTGTGTGAGTGAATGATAATGAAGGAATGAACTAACGTAGCTTTGTTCAAAAGGAAAGAGAACTATTATCTAAAAATCCAGCATAACAGGCTATTTTGGATCAATTACAGGAATTTCTTACTTTGACAATTCTTTTTCTTACATCAGGAATATTATTTTAGTTACACTGCCTTACAGCCCATGCAGGGAGGTTATTTGAAAGAATCACTATGTAAACCATGAAACTGAAGTGCCAAGTTTCCATTCTTTTTGAACCATATGCTGACACACTTTTGAGAAAATGAAAATGCTTAGTTCTGGGGATTCTAAGCAGTGTTTGATATACTGAGTTACTGCTTCCTCTTAAAGGAATCAAGGACAGATTTTTTTTTTTTAAATGGCAGCCATAAAATACAAGTTAATCTGTTGTAAATGAGTTATGCCAGAGGCAGGATCCAAGAGGCCTTCCCTGAGTCAATTCAGTTTAACTCTATGAATTAAATATTACACTTAGCTGAGATTCATGCTCCCTCTTACACCAAAAAACCAGACATCGATTCAAGAGTTAAACTTTATTATGATTCACATTAGGTTTTCTAAACTACCATAATGGATAGTTTCTTTTTAATTCCTATGGAAGTTTTTTCTTTTGGTTTCACATATAAGAGAATCCATATGACATGTAAGCTTGTTTGTCTGATTTATTTCACAATATTATGGTATAAAGATGCATTCATCTTCCTGCACATGACTCGTTTATCCTTTAAGGCAAAGAAGTACTCTATGGTATATAAATAACACCTTTTCTTTATCTAGTCATCTGTTGATAGACATACAGGCCACTTCCAAGATGTAACTTTTATGAATTGCACTGCTATAAACGAATGGAATTCTATTTTTAGTCTTTTGAGGAGTCTCCATACTGATTTTCATAGTGGTTGTACTAGTTTACATTCCCACCAACAATGTAGAAAACATCCATTTTCCCCCTAGCCTTGCCAGCATTTGTTCTTATTCGATTTCTTGATGATAGCCACTCTTCTGAAATAAGATAGACTCTCAGTGTTCTTTGAATTTGCATTTCTCTAATGGCTGGAGATACTGAACACTTTTTCATGTATTTATTGGCCATTTGCATGTCTTTTGAGAAGCTTTTAGTCACTTCAGTTGTCCATTTTTTGATTAGGTCTTTTTTGGGGGGGGGTTCTAATTTTTTGAGTTCTTGATATATTCTAGATATTAGTTCCCTGTCCATGATGTAGTTAGCAAAATTTTTTCTCATTTTGTAGGTTGTCTCTTCACTCTGGTTGTATCCTTTGCTGTATAGAAGCTTTTTGACTTGATAATATCCCCTATGGGTAATTTTTAAACTATTAAACTTTATGACAAGGCTGATTTCCATTTCTGAATCTATACAGAATAAATGTGAAACACACACATGGATTTTTATGAGTATAATCTGAGATGAGTAGCAAATATTTTAACATGCCATATTAACTAGTATCACAAACCTAAAGTGAAAGTATTGCAGAAGCAAACCACACTGTGAAAGCACAGGAACTTAAGAGTGCAACCACATAGGAAAAATGTTTGACAGTAACTATCAAAGAAAATATATGCATATCCTATGACTAAGCAGTCACACCCATGAGTATACACCCCAAAGAAATGAGTGCTTATTTCTACTAAAGACATATACAAGAATGTTTCTTACATTACTATTTGTATAAAATAATCCAAATGTTCATAAACAGTTGAATGAGTAGGTTATATGATGAAGTACTTTACACAACAGTATGGATGAGTTATGATATAATATTGGATGAAGGAAATCAAACACAAAAGAGTACATACTCTATGATTCCGTTTTATGCTGTGTAAGAACAGCAAAAACCAGCCTGTGGAAGTAGAAGTAAAGAACGTAATAAAGTTATGCTTATTACCGACCAGGCAGGATACAAGAAAACATTCCATATCCTGATCTGTGTGCTGATTACACAGGAGTACACATAAACATTCATCAAATTAAACATTGTATGTATTATATGTAAATATTAAATATATATCACTGTGAATAGCATTAGACCTCAGAATGTTATCAGTGTGGTGAAAAACAGCATGGGAACTAGGGGAATGTAAATAGAAAAGGGCAGAACAGGATACAGTGTACTTCAGCTGGAAAGAAGATACTTTGTGCAAACACTAACCACCAGTCCAAACTGGAATGCTGAGCTTCCAAATCTCTCCAACACACTGCATTATCAGTGGACGAGTAGCTTGCTGTTTTTGACAGCAGAAAAGAGACAGAATACATCTCTTAATTCTATTTCCTGGGGCTC